TCATTTGAAAATTAGTTGAATGATGAATGAACATGGTTTGATCATAGTTTGATCATGGTTAAGGATGGTTCCAAGATGAATGAAGATTATTAGAATGATGATTGAAGTTTGTTCAATCAAGGTTTAATAATGGTTTGATCATGTTCGAAATATTATTGGAGATGGTTTGATCATGGCTATGTCATTGTGTTTTATTTTGCACATTTTAGTTATTTTATATGTATATTGATATTTGAATTTGCTTTGGTCACTAGTTTATAGTATTGAGAACTCCCATTCGAGGAGTTATATAAGATGGATAGAAATAGTAAACTATGTGAGAATATATTTGATGTCATTGCATATATATATATATATTCATTCATGGAGTACACCATGATACCAATGGTATGGAAGCTTAGGCTTTATTTCCTTATAGATGGCTTCCTCATTAACCTCCACAAACATAGTGTTGGGTAACAATGTTCTCAAGAACAAAGATTTCTTACATTTGTGAATGGATAAAAAATGTATTTCATTAATTCAAATTAAGTAAACCATATTTATTTAAGTTGTATGTCTGCAAATCCTAACTTGTTACAAGTGGTTTTTCATTATATTTTGGTACACAAAGAAGATGATGAGGACTTTATAAGTCAATTCTTCGTACTTCTTCTCAATGCATCTTAACTTGAGTTATAAAAATGAAAGTGAAAAGCTTATTTTTTAAGGATAAAGTGAATGACTAACTCAATGAATAAAATGAGATTAATAATAATAATGATTAATAAATGCTCCATCTATAAAGTTTATAGGTTAGAAACCTCGAATTACCGGGTTACATATCCTAATGGATAAAAAAAATGTATTTCATTAATTCAAATTAAGTAAACCATATTTATTTAAGTTGTATGTCTGCAAATCCTAACTTGTTACAAGTGGTTTTTCATTATATTTTGGTACACAAAGAAGATGATGAGGACTTTATAAGTCAATTCTTCGTACTTCTTCTCAATGCATCTTAACTTGAGTTATAAAAATGAAAGTGAAAAGCTTATTTTTTAAGGATAAAGTGAGGGAGGTAATGAAAGCTCAACCACCATTAAATCAAGCAATTACTTCTTATGAAGGATTTAAGTAGCATTTTTCATTGTAGAAGAGTAAAGGAGCTGCATATTAGATTGGAGAATAATCAAATAATGTTGGAGCAAAAAGGGATGCTTTAACTACTCTTGTTGTAGGTTTTGTATGTTTAAAGGACAAAGATGGAGTGAGGCAAAGCCTATAAATAATCGAACCATACATAAAAATGGTTCAGAATGAGATATATGAGTAGGTGGAACAAGAGGTGGTGGTGGATATATTACATTAATCCCTTTCCATTGTACCTATAGAATAGAAAGTTGATAAGCCAAATAAAATCAATTCATCTATTACAATTATATATAGAAGTCATGTAATATTAATGAAGTTTAAGAGAAGACACTAACATGATAATTAGGGAAAAGGCACAAACTTATTGCCATTAATCATCCTCACCCGAATGATGAAAAGTAATTGTGCTCCTTTAAATCTTAGATGCCATGAATAGTTGACAGTTTTCATGAGAATGAGATAAGAGTGGGCAAGAACAACACATGGTTATCATAGTTGAATACTCCAAAAATTTATTTAGGTAGTAAGGTGATAGCATCATATGTTTTTGAAAGTATGAAAACTTAGATGTTCTTTATACTAACTTTGATGTATATTTTGTAGCATATCAATGCTTTATTTTTTTTTTTAATAAATAACATATATGACATGACTCTAAAAATTATAGATTTGATATAATTAAGTTTGACGAACCATTTGATTAGTATTACTAACTAGCATCCTCCATCTTTCACAAGGAAAAAAAATGATTCATTCGGTGGCCTATTATTGGAGTCATGTACATTATTAGAAAGATTCAAATGGTTATGTCTAAACTTAACTGCACTTTAAACCATATTTTCAGAGAATGCAATGCTTGTGCTGACTGGTTAGCGAAATTTGGTTGCTCCTCTTGTAATGATAAATTTTTTGAAATGGAGAATTTTCCTGAGCAGTTGCTGGGTTTGGTTAGGAGGGATAATCTGGGGATTCCTTATGCTAGGGAGTATTGATGGGTGTGTTTTGGTTGTTTGGGTCTTTTGGATCAAGCATGTGTCTTTCTTTTTTCATTTTGCTGGGTGTAATCCTGTTGTTTCTTCTTCGGTTTATCTGTTGGTTATGGAGTTTCTTTTGGTGTTTGGTTTGTCTTGCTCTGTTTTTCTGGACAGGGGTGCTGTCTCCGGCTGTGGCTTGTTTTTTTTTTTTCTATTGGGAGATTATTAATTTTTTGTTGGGGGTTATCTGGTGCGTGTGATGATACCATTCAGGATGGTATTTCTATGTTAAAATACTCCAGGTTAATTTTTCTCTCGGTTTATAAGAACTGGAAAGATGGGTTTGGTATGGATTTGCTTGCTGTGATATGTTTTTTGGAGGCTTTTTCTTGCACCTCTGTTGATATTAAAATATGGATCAAACCGTATTTTCCTGCAGGTACTCTTTGGGTTTCTAATCATGTTTTTTGCTATACTTATTATTCAAATTTTGTGTTATATACCTGCAGGAAATTAGTCAATACTCATCACAAATGTTGTACGATTTTCAAGGTTAATTTATGTTATTTTTTAGCTTTTATTGGAAATTATTACTGTTTTTTGCAGGAAGAATGAGCGGAATGTTATCATTATTTGCTTCCTTTTTTGGTTCTGCTGGCTCACAGACCTAGGTTTTTATGGCATTATTTTTATAATTGTAGAAATAGGAACCACCGGCTCATAGGTTTTTACTTTACTTTTTTACTTGTAGCTCTTTCGAGCATTAGGGAGCTGGAGGTTCCTGCTAAGGACCTTGTAACCGATTTTTGAATATTAACACGTAGGCCCCATGAGTGGGTTTTAACCAAAAAAAAAAAAAAATGTACATTATTAGAGTGGAGGAGAAGTTACCAATATCATAGGTAAATATATAATTCATATGTTTTACAATGAACTATAATAAAGTTTATTGGATTATATGTGAGATTTTACTTCCTAAAAGGTCTATTATATTGTATGACTTTAAACCTTACTCCACCTTATTACAGATATTTTAAGTAATAACGAGTATATTCTATAAGTTCTTTTCTAGGTTGTTTGAGCAATCATATTTATTTGAAGTATACATGAACTTTTCTATGCCAAATCTCTCTCTTAGTGGAGGAGGGCCACAACAAAGGTGGTCCTCTTGTTTACAATAAGGCAATCCATTTGAATATTTAAAAAATATTATTAAAGCAACACTAATCATATTCAATTATGTATGAGCTATTGAAGTGCATATTGTTTTCACAATAATATAGTTTTATAGGTCATTTATTATTATTATGTAGACATTATTTCTCTATGTTCATTAACCCAATTTATAGTACATCTAAATTTATATCTACTCCAGTATAGATGTGCTATTTCTCTTGAATTATATAATTAAATTATACACTTTATTAGGTATTAAATAATTTTAATTTTAATAATTTCAAAATTTTAAATTTTAATTTTAATATACTCATCTCAGCAACTCTTAGTGTCTGTTCGGCAAAAGTAGAATTTTACTTTAGTAGGATTATAGTTAACAAATTATAATGATAAATAATTTAATCCGAAATTACCTTAATTATTAAATAATTTAATTACTAGTTATAGAATTATTCATTAAATTGCTTGTAGATGTCTTAATTTAATAAATTTTTGATATATAATTAAATTAATAATTATCAAATTAATTTGTTATTTTTTTTAAATAACTAATTATTTAACTAATACTCCTACTAATGATTTAATTAATTTTAAAGTATTAATTAATAATTAATAATTATTCATTATATCATTGGTTATCTCATTAATCATTTAAGTGTTCTAATACTAATTAATTATTTAATTATTATTTATAATATTATAAAGTAATTATTCTATTTGAAATTATATTTAATCCTACTAATTATTTTGAAATAACTAATCATTTAACTAATAATTAATCCTACTAATAATTTAATTAATTATTTAATTATTATTAAGTTAGTTTTATTTATAAATTATATTAATAATTATGTTATTAATCACTTTAGTCGCTTTTTCAGCTCCTTTGTTGAGGTTCAAGTTTGCTCCATCAACAACGTTCCCTTCCTGTTTTATTGGAAGTTACGACATTTTGATCGGAAGCAACGACGAGAGCTAGCTTGCTGTGAAGGTAACTTTCTCCCTTTTGCGCACTTCGTAGGCCAAATCCCATAAATCCACCGAACTATAGGATTTAATAAATCCAAGATTTAAAACAAAAAGGAAGAAACAGAGGATTTATTCTGCCATGTGATTTTCGTGCCACAGATTGATGAGATCGATGCTACGAGACGCGATCGACATTGCAGGAATGCAAGATTGACGCGACGTGCTACGAGACGTTCTCTTAAAACATTCTTTGCTTATTCCGATAATACCCTTACACTCATCTCATTTTTCCGTTTTAATTTGACAGCATGATAAAAAAAGTATAATTTGGAGGAGTCGAGGGACAAAATATTTCGGAATGATTTTAATCTCTCACAAAGAGTAAACCGTTTTGATCATTTTTCTCATATTTTAAGTATATTTTACAAAAAAATATTATTTAAATAAATTGGCTTGGGAGCAAATGAATTGGAATCTTAAACTTGTCTGGTTAGCGCATTATCAAGCTTGCAACTCTAGGTTTGGGAAAATTATTAGGTCCAGACACCAATAAAATATTTACATGTGGAATGTACACGTGTCTGCAGAATTTTAAGTAAAGCGCGTCAAAAGCGTAGGTAAAGTGCAGGTAAAGCGCAATCAAAAAGCGCAATCAAAATATAGTTAAAACACACCTAAAATGCAGTCAAAGCAAAGTCAAAAAACAAAATCAAAACATAATTCACATGACAATTTTTAATTAGATGTCCGGATATGTTTTTAGGTTGCGTGACCCGACCTAATAATTTTCTTCCCTATATTTGGCCCCGAAGCCGCTTAAATCCTAGAATGCTCGGAAGCTTCCGCAGCTTGAGAAACCCTCGTCTCGACTTCCTGGTGAGACTTCTTATTCGTTTCTGTTCCAAATACTAATACGTTGCAAACGCTGGTGATTTTTTCGTATTCTTGTTTCCCTTCGCATTCGGGGGGTTTGATTATATTCTTCTTCCATGATTTTCAGCTCTTACAAGAAAATTTTTAATTTTGTCTCGAATACGTGACGAGTGAGTGCCATAAAAATGGTGACGAGAGGACTAGTTGGGGAAAAATGGTCGCAGAGGATTCTCTGGCTCTGCGCATTTGGTAGCGCATTAGGTGAATTGTTGTTCTCAGCATATGTGTTGCAGATTGTGTATTATTATTGTTATATTATTATTATTATTATTATTATTATTAGGCTATTGAATTTAGAATCACAGGCTTGTATATGGTTGCTGTGGAGAGACAGGCTCAGAACAGGGAAAAAATGATGGGTGAAGGATTGACGAGTTTGGATGGTGCACATAGCCAGTCTAGTGGAGAGGATGCTTAAGACAGGTGAATAATTGTGAGGAATTTCTGAATATTTTTTTCTCCAAGCTCTGTTTTCAGCAGGAACATATTTATAAACTGGATGAAGAAGGATATATGTTTGAATAGCTATTGATGAGTTTCTCTGCAGAGTTACTCTTTCAGAAAAACTCTGCTAAACAAAAAGCATAAATCAGGGTACATTCTCTTGCAAATGTCTAGTAAAAACATTCATGACTAAAGAAACTCTTATTCAATTGACAAAATTATGTTGTATTTTATTGAAATGGCTTTGAAGGTAGAATGAGTATTAAGAACAATGCAAATTTAAATTTTGGTTTTGTATAGTGATGGGCAATGAAAGTAGGAGGACAGAGTGAGAAATTTTTATTATTAAAGTTTAGTGATTCCATACATCAAAGATAAGTTTGTAAAATAGCATTATATAATTTAAACATCTATAACGGGTTATAGAAAAATGGATAAAGTTATTCCTAATAGGAGTTTGAAGGTAAATGAGGTAGGTCAAAAGTTCAAAACTAAAATGACCTGAAGATATGCAAATTTTATTTTACAAACTATAGTTAACAAGACATGCATCAATTAAGAAAGAATGAAAGAAAAATATTTCATAAAGCACCAAAATAGTTGTGTAACGATAATGATGTTGATGGTAAATGATTCCTTTGCCTTTTAATGAGTATCAGTCCGTTGATTGTTGAAAAGACTGTTGAAGAATCAAATGACTCAAGTTATTGGAGAAAAGAAGTCTGCTTGATTGAAGGATTTGACATGTACTAATTTTGATGATTGATACATAATTTCTTATATTGTAAAATTTGATCTACAACTATTACAAGCTATGTTTAAAATTTTGCAATAACTCATTCACCTTGAGGTTAGAGAGAGGCTCATGCGAAGCACCTTGAGACTTTAGATTCATGTGGGGAAAACGAGGGGTGCACCTCAAATGAAAGACATTCCATGAGGCATTTAAAAAAAGTATTTTTATTGATTAGGGAATAGGATGGTGTTGGCTTTACACATGCCCAATATTGGGTTAGAGCTACGATTGGTGGCTTAATTTGAATTTTGCGGCTCCTAAAAGATGTTAAGTTAATATATAATCCTCAGTTAGGGTTTAGAAGTGATGTTAAGTGTTAATGCAAACGAGATTTGCCCAAGATAGGAGTGTAGTCTAACCCGGCGCAGTTGTTGATTGAATCGGTGCGACTTTTGGTTGAGTCGGTGTGATGCTTCTTTTTTTTAACTATTCTGCCATGGTGTTGTAAAAGATGAGCGTTGTGGCGCTGCAGATGAGCACTTTGGTGCTTGCTTATGTAATCCGACACTGTGGCGCTTTCGATGTTGGTGCTTCGACATTGAATTATTTGAAAATTTTCATGATGCTCCGATGCTACAATGTTGATTTTCGGCATTGCGGCGCTACCCTTAGATCCACTGGGGCATTGATATTAGTGAAATTTTTCCGAGACTAGCGCTATAATGTCCAAAATAGGCGCTGGGCATTGAGAAGACACTGCGGCGCTAATAGTTGTTGCATTGTGGTTTTAGTTTAAACATTGCAAATTTTGCTCTATTACATGAGACATTCTTTTACAACATGAACTAAACCTTACATCTTTATTGGAATTAATATAATAAAAATACTACATTATTTCCACTTACCAGTCATCCAGGATTTTTTACATTGCTTGCCCATAAATTAGAATCTATGGGAAATCTTTCCTATCACCTAGTTTCGAGCAAGGGCATCACCTCTAAGCAACCTCATGTAAAACAATTAGCCAATCTATAGGAAAAAAATCAGCGGAAACCAAAATAAAAGTGTAAGTGAAATGGTCTTACATGCGCATGCAATATTGCATGAAGAACAGCGAGCTCATCAAAACCAAAATATCAATAACTTCCTTCAAGCAAAGCAAGTAATTCGTTTCTCTTAATAAGATGTTGAAATCTCAAATATTTTTGGAATGAGAGATGAGGTTGATAGATATCCTTTTAAGTGGAGGTTCTATTGTTACATGTGGGCATTACTTTTAGGTGAATCGTATAAGTTGTTGTATATACTAGAGCCTTAGGGTTTTAATTAAATCATTTAGAATAATGTATTGATGTTTTATGACATTTTTGACAATAGCGACGTTCAAAATTACTTAATTTTTGCATTTGATTAGATTCCAAACAATAAGATTTGGGACTTAATACTTTCCCGAACCGACATTATTGGAGGCTCGTAAACTTTAGCAGATACCTACTGAAAGTTCGTTAGGGATATAAGCCCTTATGAACTAGCCCAAGCTAACCAAGAGGGGGGTGAATTGGTATTTTAAAAAATATTTCAATCAAAAATAAAAACTCAATCAAATCAAAATTCACCTCAAAGAAATTTAACGTGCGGAAATTAAATGCGGGAAAAGCAGTAGTAAATGACACATAAATTTATAGTGGTTTGGTTAACTCGACCTACGTCTACTCCCCGGAGGTGCTCTCCGAGTATTGCACTAAACTTAGTGACTCTCCTTTTGCTTCCACAGCAAGGCGGAGAAACCTGTACAAAACCTCCTTTCCACCGACACTGGTGAGGCAGAAAACCCAACTCCTTTTGCTTCCTCCTGAAGCAGGCAGAGATCTTTGATCGATTGTTGAAGTGGACCTCTCTTAAACCTTCAAGAACAAGGGACGATGATCAGAGAAGATGACTTAGATCCTTGCTTAGAGCTACCTTTGTGAAACCTCTCACAAGCTCTCCTTCACAAGATCCTCTCTCTCTCTCTCTTTCTCTCCCTCTCCTCTAGGCTCTCTCAGGTCAAGACAGCAAAAGATAATCTCTTGGGTAGAACAAGAGGTCTTAAATAGAAGAGTTTTGGAATAGCTCTTAATTTAAACAAACCTACTTTATCGTCCAGGACGATATAAATATTATCCTGGCCGATCAGCGTAAATTTTTCTCAATCAGCCCGGATGGTTTGGGACGATCAGAAGATTTTTGTTCATATCGTCTAGGATGATAAGATATCATCCTATACGATTAGTATAAGTCGTTAAATATCATTTAGACAATCGCACTAAATGGATGTCTGGATGATGGAAAAATAGCTTGATCGTCCAGGCCGATCTTACGATTGTCCCGGATGATTAGTTCAAATCCGTAAAAATCATCTAGACCATCGCCCTGAATAGAATGTGGCCGATGTTAATCGTCCAGGAACAACTAAGGTTTTTTTTTGAACTGATTGTTCCGATCGATCCTACGATCGTCCAGAATGATTTGATCGAGCAATCAAATCTTAATTGCTTTTCTTAATAACCAAATTAATTTAGGCATAATTGTATTTCATCATCCAGGACGATGTCCAAAAATAAATAATATCTAAATAGATCCGACGGCTGATTCTTTTTGATTTGAACCTATCGTCCCGGTCGATACTAATATCGTCCAAGACGATGCGCTTAATGATGACTTCCTTAACCAGGATGCCCTAATTAGGATTTCTGTTTTTAATTGATCGTCCAGGACAATTGATAGGATTTCTGTTTTTACTTAGTATCAGCAATCACATCGTCTACAATAGACTCAAGAAATGGAAAATTTTACAAACTGACTCAGACCTAGTCTACCCAATCTTGAGCTGGTTCAAATTGCAGTTTGGTCTTGTGGACCTGAAATATTAGTAGGCAAGACAGTCGTAGAGAAACAGAAGTGTTTGCTATCATCAAAATTATATTTCCTGAAAAACTGATTTGCAACAATCTCTCTTTTTTTGATGATGACAAACATGTTGCAAATCTGAGTTTATGGATTAGACTTTTGATGATAGCAAACATTCATAATTCCCTATGATTGTTTTGTCTACTAACTTTCTTGAGTCAATTGTAAAAGTGGTTCCTGATACTAAGTAATCTTGCACACACACACACTTGAGGGGTTTTCTAAATTTTTGTGTTTTGAGTACATCTGCCTGGACGATGTTCATATTGGCTAGGACGATTCACCTAAAAACAGAAATCATAATTAGGGCATCATGGTTAAGCAGACGTCACTAAGCAAATCGTTTTAGACGATCCTTGTATCAGCCAGGATGATAGGCTCAAATCAGAAAGAATCAGCCGCCATGATCAATTTAGGTATTCTTTATTTTAAATTATCATCCCGGACGATATCCATATCGGCATGGACGATACAGCACAATTATGCCTAAATTAATCTGGCAATTATGGAAAGCAATTAAGGCTGATTGATACGATCAAATATGCCGGGACGATGTCCTGGACGATTGACATCGGCCAGACTCTATTCAAGGCAATGTTCAGGACGATTGTACTTGGATTTGAACTAATCGGCAAGGACGATAATGTATAGGCCTGGACGATTTAACCAATTTTCTTCTGTTCGTCCTGAATCGTCTCAGCTGATTGAGTTTATTTTGTATTGATCAGCCAGGACGATATTTATATCGGTCTGGATGATAAAGTCGATTCTTGAAAATCTATTTAAAGGACCCGAATTTTCTCATGCAACAAGACCTTGAGTGCTGCTGTCTTGACCTGAGAGAGCCTTGGGAGAGGGGGAGAGAGAGAGAGGAACTGAGGGTTCACAAAGGTTGCTCCAAGCAAGGTTCCAAGTTGTCTCCGTTCTCCATCTTTCGTCCTTGGGAGGTTCTTGGGATGTCTACTTCAGCAAAATGTTTGGGTTCTCTGCCCGCTTCAGGAAGCAAAAAGAGTCGGTTCTCTGCCACACTAGGGTTGGTGAAAAGGAGTCTGTTGTAAAGGCTTCTTCGCCTAGCTGTGGGAGCTAAAGGAGAGACACTTATTTAGTGCAATACTCGGAGGGTGCCTGCGAGGAGTGGACGTTGGGCAAGGATTGACCGAACCAATATAAATCCGGTGTGATCTTTCTTTGTTTTGCTTTCGTGTTTATTTATTTTTCGCACTTTGATTTCTGTGGTGATTTGGTTTTATGATTTTTGTACTTTGCTCAAAGAAAATTTTTAAAATACCAATTCACTCCCCTCTTGGTTAGCCTCAGACTAGTTCTTAAGGGCTTAACATCCCTTATAAACTTTCAAGTGGTATCAAAGCGGGATTCATAAAAACTAAGTTTGAAAACTTTTTGAATTTTGATCCATGACGAACAACGGAAATCGTAATACTGCGGAAGGGTATTCTATTACCTGACCACCTTTGTTTGATAATATCCCTTTTGATTTTTGGAAAACTCGCATGTCTACCTTTTTTGCAATCAATTGATTATCGCATGTGGATGCTTGTTAAGGATGATTATACACCTCCAACTGGAAAATTGAATGCCGTTACTGTTCCACTT